CTGTCATCTATTTTTAAAGCACTGCCATCAGAACTGTTGCGGAAGGGATGCTAAACCCTCACTTGGCATGGGAGGCCCTGATCATCGCTTCCATGCATACACACAAACCACAGTACAACAAACATAGCCAATTATAGTTAAAGTTTTGAAATGTATTCAATTTGTGTTACATATAAGTAAGTAAGTTATATATGTATAAATACGTATGTGTATGTTTTAACTTGTTTAAGTTGCGCTTGTATAGCTCTAAAACTGCATTATGCACAGCTAAAAAAGCAGTATGCTAACTTAAACAGGATTAAACATATCCAACAGCATTATGCACAACTTTAACTGTACTTCATTCAACCTGCAGTATTATGCACAACATTTAAAGAACATTACCAAACAGCAATTTACAGTAGTCACATTTTATGACTTCCAGGTAAAGCCAGAGAAAATAACAACTCTTAGAAAATCATGTGGGCACATTTTAAAATGGCAGCTGTATGTAAAAACCTTTCATATTGTCTAATTTAAACACATGAGATGGACTCACCATACACTGTAAAAAAAAATCTCTACTTTGACAGTTTTATTCCTTTTTATTTCATATATTTTTCCTGTATTTTTGAAATACATGATAATTAAAAAAAATTACAAAAATAAACTGTGAATTTACATGTCTAATGTAAAATAACATGAAAAACCTGTAGCTGTGAATAACCGTAACATTTCTGTTATCTTAAGGAAACTTTTGGGGTTTTTCACGTAAACAAACTGTTACAATACATTCAGGAATTTCCCGTATTTTCACAAATATTATTTTTCTTATTTAAAAGAAAAAAGGGTTAAATTTAAGTTTAATACTGTAAAAACATTTCTTAAACTTGGTACAATTAGTAACAGTTAACTGTAACAAAAAACATTTGTTATGTAACTTGACATAGATTTTCTTGTTAATTGACAAATATCTCCTTTAATTATGGATATTTGGAAAATAAAAACATTGAATAAATGTTATTTTAATCAGTATATAGTGTCTGCAAGTATTGTTAAACTGTCGAAACACAGTTTTGATCATTGAAAACAGCCATAATTACTGTAATTTCACAGCTTTTGACTTTTATTATAATTCTTAGATTACAAGTTAGATTAACATAGTATATAATTGCCCCAAATCGCCCGATGTCAGCTGGGATAGTCTCCAGCCCCCCGCGACCCTGAACGCAGGATAAGCGGTTGACGATGGATGGATGGATAATTGCCCCAAAGTGGTAAAATTACAGAAAGGTAATATTTAATTTACTGTTAAATGACAGGTGTTCACACCTTTTAATGGGGTTAAAAAAGAAAACTTCCTGTAAAATTACGGGTTTGTGATGAAAAATTAATTTTAATGCCATTTTACAGATACTTCGATTGAAAAGTTTTAGCTATAGGTGTATAATCAAAACCTAAAAAAAAACATATTTAAATCTTGTTTTTTCATAATTAAAAATCACCACATGTTCACATTTTACATTAGAGTAATATATATCCATTTATCCTATAATAGAGACCAGAAACCCATTTTGAGTTATCTTGTACTAGGGTTATTTGTGACAGTTTCAGACTTCCTTAAATTTACTTAATTTGAGGAAACTTAGACATTTATTAATTTAGCTTACGCTTTTATCCAAAGCGACGTTAAGGCGTTAAGTGTCTTGCTCAGGGACACAATGGTGGATGGGTCACAGTGGGGGATTGAACCCAGGTCTCTCACACCAAAGGCATGTGTCATTGCGACATCACCACTCCACAGACCTTTTAAAGTACCACCATAATACAAATTCCCACATCTGATACTATTTATAGACCATTTATTCAGTTCCATGCTCAAAACAAATAAGCCACACAAGTCAACGATTTCAGTGTAAAGAATTGTTCTCCTGAAACAAAAGTAGTTTAGTTTTTATTTACCTTATTGACGACATTTTCAGATCTATTCATTAGAAACCCAATTGGGTCAACATAAAGAATATTTTGGATACTATTAGACACAGCTCCAAGATTTAAGTACAATCTGAATGTAAAGTAATTGGAAAGTATTTCTTAATGCTGGCATTTTGCTTTGATAGGACTGTACAGAGACATGAAAGGCAAAGGCCAGGGGAAAATGGTGGTTTTACATACAGTGAACTTAATGCACAATCCAAAGACTTCTTCCCTGGTTTCAATATGATATTTTATGACTTTCTAAAGCCAGTTTTTGTATCTGGTAAATGTTGTTACAGCTGTATGTGTTTCTCTGTGCTGTGCATCCTTGTTCCTTTTCTGTCCTCTAGTTCTGCCCCAGGAGTGTTACAGCTGATTGCTGAATTAGGTCCACCTGGCCTTGCAAGGCAGTGCACAACTGTGCGCACGGGAGTTGGGGAAGTCCAAAATTTCTAAATTAAGTTGGTATACAAAAAAGATGCAAATATATGCAAGTAGAAAGACAAGTGCGAATGTGAAGTGTTTCTTGGCAGTCCAAATTAATCCATTTGTTTGCAAGTTTTTGGTATGCAAGCCAAAAGTACATTTTCAGATTCAACTGACTTGGCACAACAACACCTCTGGATGACCTAAAGAAACATAAACAACGGCAAACAAAATCAACAGTATATCTATCCAAGGTCTGCAAGACATTAAGTAAGTTTCTCTTAATAATTGGTATGGTGAACAAATTCTGGAGATGTGTTAGTCCATAGCCCTCTCCACAGAATTGGGGAAGAATTCAAGTCTGGTGGCTACATGGCTGCAAAAATGACAGAGCAGATAACCACTCCCCCTCCACCACCAGCTCTTCCATTATGTGTGAGCAATAAGCAAAAGGCAGTTGATCTACACTAGCTTGCCGTTCCTTACATCCAAATAGCTTGACAGCGTTTGATTTACAATATAACTGCATTGATAAATAGGGCTGTGTGATCTGACAGTAAACACTATATTGCAAAAGCATTGGGACACCCCTTCCAAATCATTGAATTCAGATGTTCTTATCACTTCCATGGCCACAGGTGTATAAAATCAAGCACCTAAGCATGTGGACTGCTTCTACAAACATTTGTGAAAGATTGGGTTGCTCTCAGGAGCTCAGTGAATTCAAGCTTGGTACCTGTGCAATAAGTCCATTTGTGAAATTTCCTTACTACTAAATATTCCATGGTGAACTGTTAGTGGTATTATAACTAAGTGGAAGCGATTTGGAACAACAGAAACTCAGCCTTGAAGTGGTAGGCAACATAAAATCCCAGAGTGGGGTTGGCGCATCTGCAGAAGAGTCAAGAGCTACAGACCTCCAAACGTCATGTGGCCTTCAGATTAGCTATGTGGCCTAACAGTGCATAGAGAGCTTCATGGAATGGGTTTCCATGGCCGAGCAGCTGCATCCAAGCCTTACATCACCAAGTGCACTGCAAAGCGTCGGATACATGGTGAAAAGCATGCCGCCACTAAACACTAGTGCAGTGAAGACGTGTTCTCTGGAGTGACGAATCACGCTTCTCTGTCTGGCAATCTGATGGATAAGTCTGGGTTTGGCGGTTGCCAAGAGAATGGTACTGGCCTGACTGCATTGTGCCAAGTGTGTTAAGTTTGGTGTGGTGGTGTTTTTCAGGGGTTGGGCTTGGCCCCTTAGTTCCAGTGAAAGGAACTGTTAATGCTTCAGCATACCAAAACATTTTGGACAATTTCATGCTCCCAACTTTGTGGAAACAGTTTGGGAATGGTCCCTTACTGTTCCAACATGACTGCATACCAGTGCACAAAGCAAGGTCCATAAAGACATGGATGAGCGAGTTTGGTGTGGAGAAGTTGACTGGTCTGCACAGTCCTGACCCCAACCTGATAGAACACCTTTGGGATGAATTAGAGCAGAGACTGCGAGGACTTCTCATCCAACATCTGTCCCTGACCTCACAAATGCTTCTAGAAGAATGGTCCAAAAGTCCAATGAACACACAGCTGATTACCTGTTTTAGAACAATATTTTGACGTTTTTTAAAAGGAAAATCTAGTATTTGCAGGTGTTGTATCGTTTCTTTTTACAATGTATATTGATTACATAAACAAGATTTTTATGTGAAATTATACAATAAAACTCAATTAAAAGCAGCACTCTACTATAAATTTTAAGCCTGATTATTTGTATTATAGCAGTTTTCAACTATATTTAAAAGTAATTTAATTGTTTTTACAGGTGTATATGTTCTTAATTAAACAATAAAAGCCCCAAAAATTGCACAAGATTTTATGTAAAATTAAAGTTACAGACTGTATTGTCATTATGGAATATTACCGTATTTTTCTGGCGCCCCAGCTGCTGGAAAATTTCAGTTTTTTCAGTTTTTTTTTTTTTAACAGTGTAGGCTAAATTTAATGGATGACATGAATGTCTTTTTTCTTGCTTTATTGGCAGAAAACTCAGCAGTAACATCTGTGTAATTCATATTAGAATAGTCAATTTCTTTCAACTTTAAAATGTTGTCAAACTCCCACATTTGTGTAAATCAGATGCAGAGAGCAGAGACAGCCTGATCAACTATCATGTTAAAATAGTCTGTTATTCAGGCTCTAAATTTGGGGAACACTCATCTGGGACCTGGGACCTTAACCCAGAAAGGAATAATCGCTCAGATGGGGTGGTGGCGATGGCGCTATGCCTTTGGCGTGAGCGACCCAGGTTCAATCCCCCACTCTGACCCACCCATGTGTCCCTGAGCAAGATGCATAACCCCTAGTTGCTCCAGAGGCATGTGACCTCTGACCTGTATAGCAATTGTAAGTCGCTTTGGATAAAAGCTTCAGCTAAATTAATGAATGTAATTTCTTTAACAGCGCCCTTTCTTTTCCCTTGACAGATAAAAAAGTTGCTTTGAAGTATATTGGGTCACACAGTGCCCAGCATTTTAAAGGCTTGTGCAGTTGCAGCAGCTGTGCCACATGTAGGGGTCACAGAGGTCATTTGATTAAAGTTTTGTTTTCATCTCTGTCCAAAGATGGCCTCAGCAACAGCGACCTATGGGCAGAAGGAGTCTTCGGACCAAAACTTTGACTACATGTTCAAGATCCTCATCATTGGAAACAGCAGTGTGGGCAAAACCTCCTTCTTGTTCCGCTACGCCGATGACTCCTTCACGCCGGCATTTGTGAGTACGGTGGGCATCGACTTCAAGGTGAAGACCATCTACAGAAATGACAAGAGGATCAAATTACAGATCTGGGTAAGACATCTTGTGATGTGCTGAGTTTCCTTGAAGGGAGTAAATTGATCTAAGATCTATAATTTACATGTACGTATCTTGTTAGGCTAGAGTTTATTTGACAGTCTAATAAATGTAATAAAATGATCCTCCTATTCATAGCAAGATCCTCAGCTAAGACTTAAAATTAATAGATTTGACTCAAACACAGCTGTGAAATGAGACCTGTGTGGAATCAATTGATAATTTATGCTGTATATTGTCACACTCCTGTGATGGACTGGCGGCCTGTCCAGGGTGTACCCCGCCTTTCGCCCAATGTCGTCTGGTATAGGTTCCAGCCCCCTGCGACCCTGTATGCAGGATAAGCGGTTGACGATGGATGGATGGATGGATATTGTCACACTTACAATTATGCACAGCTGGCTTATTAAAAGGAATGCGTAGTGCAAGAAAATCTGCATCAGATGCAGCACATAATCGTATCAAAGAAATACTATTCCAATTACTTTAACTGTCTGTTGACAAATAGTGCTCATGAAAAATCAACATTAACTACATAGATTAACAGTTTGTGGTTTGTCGCTTAGCTAATGGTAACATCCTGTGCAAAATGTGAAGGAAACATACTAAAGACAAGTTGTCCAGTTGGTTCTTCACACAAGCTTTTTGGCCAAACTTTCTTCACTTCATTTTCTCCTGCTGCTGGTGCAGTATCCCAAGACAAACTAGATTTTCATATACTGTATGTCTTTAGCACCACGTGTTCACATTTTTCCTTTCCGCAAGTGCTTTTGTCTTTTCTTTTCTCTGCATATTTCTAAGATAATTCATTTTGAGGATACATTCACTGCAGTCAGAAGTTTTGTGTTTGCTGGATGGTGAAACCTCCTCCTCCACACACCTGTCCAACATCAGAAATGATAGGGCTGCATCCAACAATTAATGTAACTTTCTGAAACTGACAATGTGACATTCACATAGCAATTGGTCAGGTGTGTGGAGTTGTGAAAGTAAGGTTTGAGCTTCTCTTTTTTCAGTCTTTACACAACAATTTCACTTTTCATATGAAAACGTGCAAAACTACAAATGCCCTCCAGGAAGGATTGCGCGTCATTATTCAGAAACAGCATTTAAACAAGTTTTGCATCTTGTCCCTCTCAGTGACAGCAGGCTTTTCACCCCAGAGTCGGACAAAATATGGTACAAATTAGTTTGTTTTGAGTTTGCCCTCGGCAGCTCTACGTCTGAAGGCTGTTTCAAAAAGCAGGATTAGAAGGTTAGCTAAACACTTGAGAACAGATGATGCTTTATGTTCTCATGATTCTCACTTGAACCTCTGAAACTAAACGTGAATGTTATGTCATGTTTTCAATGATATCTAACAAAACAGAAAATAACATTTCATAAGATATTTCATCTACTGCTCGGAGAAACACTGCCCAGTGGTGTAGTTTTATTACGCAAGCTGTCCTCAAATCATAGTAAACACACACAAATTTGCATGCAGCGTTGTATTCGCTGCAGCCTGCTCATCCAGCTGACCCTTGAATCAGTAGAATGCAATACATTACAACACAGCTAGCAACACTGATGTGCATTCAGGAACAAACAGGGTGGCGCTGATGTTTTGTTGCATCCTGAGGGCTCAACAGTAAACACAATCATAGAGCAGAGTAAAGATTAGCATGCCGTGGAACAGGCTCCCCGAGCTACAGGATCACGTCGTAGATCATAACATCATTTCCACCTTTACTACCACATTCTGCAGCAGAAAGAGCTTTGTGATGGTGAGCAGAGCAATGTGTGTGCGTGTGTGAGTGTCTGTTGTCAGCTTTTGCCAGGTTTCGCCTCTGGTAAGGAAGACACGATTGGCCAATCAGAGCACGACAAATGGATGACTGGGTGCTGCTCTCCCCTCCCCCATTACTACAAATCTAGAGTAGATACCCCCCTCCCTGCACACACACACACATCAAATCCCCATCCCCCATCTCTCATCTGAGACTACAGTAAAAATTAAGATGGCCAACATAGAGTATGCACATTTATCTCACAGTGTGCAGTTAAAATCATTTATATAGATGTTTCAGTATGTGTCATACCTATTATTTCACTTGAAACAGTGACATTTGTGGGGTTTTGTATTAACTCATTGTGTAATACATCATCATACTGTTGTTAATATACAAATTTGGACAATTTATTTTTTCATTAAACTGGGGTGGAGACTTTATGGCTACATTTATACTGAAAGTGTACTGTAGTCAAATGCTGGGCCGCAACTAACAATTATTGCTAATCATTGATTAATCTGTTGATTATTCTTTGACGTAGTGATTAATCACTTAGTCCATAAAATGTCACTTTCACTGAGGTCTCTCTCCAAGTGTCTTTTTTTGTTCAACCAACTGTCTGGATGGGACAAATGTGTGGCATATTTGCTTGATAAAGTGATTAATTGAATATCAAAACTTGTTGACAAATTGACAATTTGTTTGAACACTGGTCAAAGATGACAGAATCACTTCCCTTATTTAATGTTGTGACATCCATTGATAATAGCACAAAACATTTGTACAGACCGAAGATGGTGATTAAGTTCTTCAGCTGTCTTTTGTGTTTTAATTATATTTACAACGATAACATAATAAACAGTACCATAACCTCAAACGTTTCATGTATGTTAATGACCTCAGTACATGCTAGTTTTTCAGCTCTTATTTCAGAAAACCACTGATTTATTTTTTGTTTTCTTTTGGGTTCCCTCCTCCCTCCATGTAGTGGCCATTTTTACCATGTTCCAAGTTCATACATCACTTTAGACTGCAGTATATAATTGTTTTGACTTGTGTTTCATTGAATTAAATCCAACAATCTTGTAAAGTCCAGGAGGGAGAGAAAACACTGAATTATCCAAAGTTACATCTCAGCCTGGTCCATTACCGATGACACATTATACTCATTATAGACTATCACATGTTACCACACGGTCAAAAGCTTGTTTTGATCCAAAGCGCAGACTTCTCTACAGAAAAAAGCAGTTTCTTTAGACAATAGATACTAAAAGTGCCTTACAACAACATCAATAGTCTAATGCAACAAAAATATACCTGTAGTCTAGCACTTAAAAAAATAATAATAGCAAATATAAATATAACCTTAACATAGTTCACCTATTGACATAAACTGTTGTATAAACTTCAATAATATCAGAACTATATAACCTGATAGCAATGTAAATCATTTACCAAATATAAATATGAGCTTTAGTGGCTCCTACAGCCCAGAAGCATGAAAAAGACTATTTCATAATCTCAGCGACTTTTCTTCCCTGCTTTTCTCAAGTCTCCATGCCAAGTTGATGTCCAGGCTCTTGCCTTAGTTAGAGTACTTCATTATAGTATCTTGCATGCTACAATATGAACATTTACATTTTGCATACTAGCTGCTCATCTAAAAATGTCGACAGCTTTAACTGTTTTCAGGGCTCATGAGTCCTCCAGTGTGTTCATTATGTAACACCACTCAGTGCTACCTACACTGACATTTGGAGTATAGAGCTGATGCTGTCATCCTGAGCAGCCTGCAGCACGTTGAGTGGGTAAACTGCAGTTCTAACATTAAAATCAACCATATGGAGCCACAGCTCTCTGAAAATCGATGTCATACAATATAATTATGACCTGAGAGTGATCAGGCGTGATTGAGTGAAAAGACACATTGATGAGTCCAAAAAAAGAAAAGAAGAGAAAAGTTGAGTGAAAGTGTGTTTGTGGACAGTATATTGTTTTTGTGTGTATTTGTATGTAAACATCTGTAAACTGCGTTTGACATCATGTTATGTGTGTTGCTTCGACACTTTAACGCAAATGTAAGTCTCCAGAAAGTTTAATAACAGGTAGACACTGGTTATATATGTATACGTGGTGTGATGTGTCTACAATAACAATAGTAAAGACAGCAGTCTTTTGCTCTTCTGAACTCCTCACAGACAGCAGAATGATGCAGTTGAACCTGAAGCTGCTTAGCTCAAAGAGCAAGGCTGGCTAGGTTTGTGGCTAAGGAGAGATAGCGAAGAAGGAAGAGGCAGGATTAGTTTTTGACAAAGTTTGCAGAGAATTGAGTGTGTCAACGTGTCAACTGCTGGCAGATTTTTAAAAAACCAGAATCGTTTTAATATGCATACACATGGGAACAATGTGTCAGAATGAAGTCTTACCCATGGTGTATGTGTGTTTGTCTGTGTCTTATTTGTTTAGGATCAAGTACATTGTTCTGATCATGGCAGAAAACCCAAAGTCGATATTTTGGGGCATCTGCATCTTACCATATGAATCACTTATAAAATAAGTTCATTAATCTTTTTTGCACAATTTGTCCTCACTCGTACACACATCTAAAAACATTTTATTACTACTGTGTGCAAACTATCTGCTCTAACATCATGCCTTTTTATTTGTAATTCCCTCTTATCATGTTTTGTGTGTTTTTTGGTTTGTTTGTGCACTCAAATCACTCATTCATCCTCAGCACTGCTCCACTAAATATATATTTTACACCATTACCATACAATTTTTATAATTGCTTTAATGTCACTGCTACATAGCAGAAGAGAATTACAAACTCAATTTCACTTTACAGCTTGTAGTAATGTGACAAATAAATCTACCTTGTACCTTGTACCTTAAGGTTTCATCAGGATGGTAAATCTTTAATGCAGGATACAAGACTGTACACAGTTCTAGCTACTAAGGAGCAGTGTGCTGTAAACCAATCAAGTATTATATCTTTAAAGACAATACCAGGTAATATTAAAACTCTTTTCGCTTGAATTTCTGCACCCTGCAAATTCTTCTTTATCATTTTACCAGCCCAATGTATTAAAGGGATAGTTTGGGATTTTTGAAGTGGCGCTGTTACCTGTGAACAGGGTCAGCAGCAAAATGTGTTTTAGCCACTTAAAGGAAGGCCCACTAAAAAAATCTACATTATATATAGTGTGCGCAATATATGGGATACAGCCTTTTCCTTTGCAACAACATTTTCTTCACCGTAGAACTTCAGTATTCCTACACATAAGCTCAATTAGCTGTGCACTGTATACTGAAAATCTGATGGCAAGGTCACTGCTGAAAATATTCTAAATATAGCGTAAACGTGAGCTGATGTTTTTTTTTTTTTGTGGGCCTAAAAATACATTTTGTTGCTAATCCTTTGCTTAGCTTCTGTGCCGGTACAACTGTCTGCTTCCTCAAACTGGGGATGCTCTGACTGCCATCTACTGCAGGCCCCACTTCCCCTGAACTATCCCTTTAAGTTTAAACGCTGAGACAATGGTGTGTTACCTGCCAAAGTGGGTGGTAAAATTCATAAAGCTTTTTCAAAGGAAAATGCTCACTAGGCTCTCTCATCTCAGAGGAATTCAAACTTGTTTCAAGATGTTAAAATGTTGGCTTAAATAAATTTGCTGATGCACCAAAGCTTTAAGTGCAGAGGAGCATTTCTTTTCTCATAGTTCTTCCTCTGCAGAGGTCATCAGTTCTCTAACAGTGTGTTTTTTTCATAGCAGATATAAACTTACCAATCACACTGAAATCACATTTAGCTGCTAGCTGTAACTTTCCTTTATAGAAATTGGTGTAAGTGCACATTTCATATTAGACATATAAAGCTGACCAATATATGGCCCTTGATTATTTGGCAGTAGGGTTACAACATCTCCACCTGCTGTATACAGGTAAATTGCTGTACTAGACAACAGTATAATCCTGATGTATAATACTATAATACAAATGTGTGAGAAACAAGGAAAGGGAACTACTTAGACTGTCTGAAGACCTAACAGTTTATCTACAACGTAATCTGTCAGAATTCTCTGTGAGGAAAGAGTTAATAAAAACATCCCTCTTTTTTTTATCCAGGATACGGCAGGTCAGGAGCGATACCGTACCATCACCACGGCCTACTACCGAGGAGCCATGGGCTTCATCCTCATGTATGACATCACTAATGAGGAGTCCTTCAACGCGGTCCAGGACTGGTACGTGATTGGCTTGAGGGTGTGTCACATGACTACAGTTTAAACTGACGCCAAGGACCTTTCCTGCGGGGTGGGGGGGGGGGATGATGGATCAAATGGTATTTGGATAATCAGCAAGTCTGGAAATAGATACTGTAGATTAATGAACAGAGCAGACAATGCGGTTCAAGTTTCTGTATGTATTGTTTAAACTGTCCACAGCATCCGCTTTCTCTGTGTTTGTAGAAGAACTGGATGCTGCAGGGATCATTATCTTTTATCCTTTCAGTCTCCTGCTGTCACTTTGGCTTGGTGTGTCATTTCTCTGTTATAATATTACTCTGATTGTCCTTAAAGAAAACGTTTGGAAGTTCAAACTTATTTTAACTACACTACTGTAGTATGTCAAAGTCTAGGTTTTACTTTCACTGCTCCTTCATCCTTTTTGTTTTCATCATTCTGGACAGTAGAAACAGCTCTTGCTTTCCATCACATAATCACAAATGTTGTTCACTGCAGAAAGTAAAACTGTAATGACACTCATGGGGGGTATGTAGGTCAAAGACAAAGATTCAGTTAGAAAAGACAAATTCACCAATGAGCAGAGGTGGAAGAATTACCACAGTGGAGAAATACTCTGTTACAAGTAAAAGTCATGCATTCAAAATTGTGTTACTTCTGTAAGTACAAAAGTATTATCATCAAACATTCTTTAAAGTATAAAAAGTAAAATCATCATGCAGTATGGTACGTTTCAGAATATTGTTTATTATTATATTGGATGATAATTGTTGATGCATTGATCTGTACTCACTCAATGCTGTAGCTGGTAAAATGGAGCTCATTTAAATAAATTCAGTAACTGCTGGGTATCTTGTGAATTTGCCCTTTTATCTTAATCCATAATAATACATTTATTTATTGATTATATTTTTATTATTAATCTAAATCTATAAAGTAACTAAAGTTGTCAAAAAATTGTAGTGTAGTTAAAAGTACAACATTTCAATCAACATTGTAGTGGAGTAGAAGAATAAAGTAGCAGAAAATGGAAATACTCAAGTAAAGTATAAGAACCTCAGAAGTGCACTTAAGTACTGTACTTTCTCCTGGCCAATGAACACACAGAAGGAAAGGATGAGGGAGTTACAAACGGGGTTTATTGTGCAACATTTTAACAAAAAAGCTTTTTTTTGGAATTTGAGACAATTACTGAAAATCAGATGGTGATTCTTGTTGTACCACATTTCAGATTCTGTCTGACACTTCCAGCTCTCAACACCTAAAATAATAAACAGAATAAGGACAGTCAGGCAAAATTTGCTTGCTGTCAAATTCTGTGAAATAAAAGTCACATGTGAGTTTCATTTTTCAGGAGAAGCTTTTGTAACTTTGTAAAATCACTGTGATCCAGAACTTGGTTTAAGTATTTTTTTGTCTGTACACACTGGTTAGAAAACAAATGAGAGGAATGCTTCAAACTTCAGGATCACATTTAGTTGCAGTGTGACGACAGTCTTTGAGTTTCCTTTCTGCTGGGTGTGTTGGTTCCCAGGTCGACTCAGATTAAGACATACTCGTGGGACAACGCCCAGGTGCTGCTGGTAGGAAACAAGTGCGACATGGATGACGAGCGAGTGGTGAGCGGGGATAGAGGCCGCCAGCTGTCTGAACACCTCGGTGAGTGCATGGTGTGCACACACTCACTCATACACACACACACACACACACACTTCATATCTATGACTCATCGTAAGGTACACTTACACTGAATCAATGACCAGGCTGAAGGTTAGTGTTGCTAGATGTTGTTTTGAATCACCAAAGTCATTGATTGAGATTAACCTTTTGGGAACCATGAATATCTATCTGACAATCCATCTAATAGTTATTAAGATATTTCAGAGCTGCTACCATGGTTTAAAGTGCCGTTTTACCAGGTGTTCTCAGTACTACATCTTCACCACTACACTATGCAGTTGCACAGATGACCATGTCCTCATTAAACCTCTCCCACACCCTATTTCTTCCCCAGGATTTGAGTTCTTCGAAGCCAGCGCCAAGGACAACATCAATGTAAAGCAGACCTTTGAGCGCCTGGTTGACATCATCTGTGAAAAGATGTCTGAGAGCCTGGACGCCGGAGATCCCGCCGTCACAGGGGCCAAACAGGGGCCCCAGCTGACAGAGCAGCCTGCTCCTCCTCACCAGGACTGTGCATGTTAAAGCTGACTACTCCCTGAAACCCTTTTCCTCCCTCCTCCTCCTTGTACTCCTTCAGCTGGACCCCAGGGCCTCGGGTCCATACTCTATCACCCTTCTCACTCACTTTCCTGCTTTTTCTATAACCTAGGAAGGATCCATGGCTGAGGGGCACAAGAGCCAGGTTACAAAGTGTCTGAAATGCTCTGAGTTGCTTGTAGAACAGTGCATGGGGTGTGTTTGTTTCTGGTTTCTCCTCATGACGGAGCTAAAAGGTGCAAAAGCAAGTTCAGTGAAACCAGAGTGTTTCAGATTCTTTGCAGCCCAGGTTCTTGAAGGTTCCCCACCCATCTTCTGTTGTCTCCCTGTTCCTTATTGTGGTTTTACAAGAAGGATTTGACGGCGTCTATCCTCAGAGTGCCATTTAAATCCTTCCAATGTTTACAGTACTTTGTTTCTTGTCAGTCAAATTTCTTGAAAATATGTCAGCCCCTGATGTGGTGACCAAGAAGGCCACAGTGGAGGTAATGTGGGAGGTGTTAACCAGCTAAAATCTGCTCCATACTGAGTGTTGCATTTCTTATAGGATTCTGGATACACACAGAATCAAACATACATGGATCTGTGTTTAATTTGTTGTGTCACCTTGTATCTAAACATGGATATTGCAGGGATTAGCAACTGTTTTGTTTTCATTGTTCATCTAAGCTTTTTCATTTGGCCTTTTTTATGTTTTTACATTTCTTTTTTTTGTATTCTGGTGCCCCATTTATTCTTTTCATTCATTAAACACTGGGTGGGGAAAATACGAACAAGATGGAGCTAGGGAAAAAAATGCAAAAAATGAAGAGACACATTTTATTTAATTATATTTATTTCAAATGTACATATAAATGTTGTGCATATATATAATATCTACAGGTATGCATATCTGGAAATTAATTTTAATAGGAATGAAGTTATATGAGGATAATATCAAATATAGGAGGTCTCTGTTGTTGGGATTGTTTGGATGATGTGTGGCAGCTCGTACATGAGTCATTTCATTCAGTCAGTTTGGTCTTATGCTGCTTTCCAGAGATGTTGCAAAGTCAGAAAATCAAACTTCGTGTTAAGAAAAGGCTGTGGAATAAGTGACAGAAAATGACCAATATGATTATCATCCTCTAAATCCACTCGGTGTGATTTCAAGCACTGCTGCTAATAATAAAATAACATTTTTTAAATGGCTCTGATATTAGAGGAAGACGCTTCTGGAAAAGCTTTTTTTGCTGCATCGTGTTTTTTTAAGCCAGACTGTAACTGCAGTGAAGCTGACATCAATAATCAAACCATTTGAGTCTACTGAAAGCTCAAAGTCATCTAGGTATAGCATTAACGTTGTAATTAGGCTGGCGAACGTTTTGATGCATCTTGTCCCAAGATAAAAATAGTTCCTGCTGTCTTTAATGTAATGAAAAAATTTTAAGAAATCTGAAAAGCATTTTGTGCAACAGCTATGCAGTTGTGCTTGCAAACAATGCTACATGTTGATATTATACTAGAAAACCTTGCAGGCGTCTGTTTTTTCTGAGCTGGACTAACACCAAGCACGGACATTGAAATTGTGTATTTGGAACAACTGACAATTTCTGACTCCAGAAAGCAAATGTTAGGTATTAGTATCCCTTATAGCTGTTTGGATAGTCACAGCTACTTTATCAAATTTATGAGACTAATATGGCATGACATACAGTAAATACCCAGATGAACCAGGCACATTGCTGTTACATGGCACAAATCTTAGATTGCATAGCCACTAGGACATGCAGGTTTGGTTTTAGCCAAGTAATTAAAGCTTGTACTTGACAATTACAGTAACTGTACAGGAACATGTCTTGCTGGTGTTGACTTGACGACCTTTGATCACACAGTCAACAGCTGCTTAGATGTTTGTAATCTAGTTTGCACTGAATGAGACTGTATCCAGGATCATGCTGTGTTTGCAGCTCACATGTTCAGCTACTTATGAGTTTAAATGCATAATTTTGAAATGCACGTTTAATGGTACTGGAAAGACTGGATTGCAGCATCTATGTAGTTTATATGCTGATCTCTTTTTAGCTCTGAACCTGTGAGAATGTGTTAGGTCAAGCTCTAAGACAACTCTGTGATTTAACCTTTCCTCTTTCCACATCCGTTACACTTGCTTAGTAACAAACTACTCATAGTAAGACTTCTTCAGAATCAGTATTACAGAGTCTGTTTGTGTGTAGTGTTATCTCCAATGCTCAGTCTTCAGGTGAAGTATGCATTAAACTGTTAAAGTCAAACAAATATCAAACTGCTAGAGGCTGAATTGTTGAGGGGCCAAGTAGCTGCTGAGTGATCACCAGTTTTGTGTCAATGCAGGATTGAAATATTCTGGTTGTCTTGGTTCCAACCCTATGGTTCCAACACTGTGTAATCACACATCTTTTCTCTGTCACTCACTCTGGGTGTCATTATCCCCCGAACACTTTCTAAGTGTTTGTACGCTAGTTTGATACAGTTTCCAGATTTAAAACTGGTTTTCCCAGGTATTCCTTGTTTTCACTTCACTGCTGTAAAAGCAAGTTTTAAAAGTCTAAAATTGTAATAAAACAAGTGCTGCTTGGTGGTATTCTGGGCTTGCTGTTGTTTCCAGTGAAAACAGAGTGAAAGAGGAGGGTACCTATGGAGCACTGTAAAAATTATTGTGGGGGTCAAAATCATGGAATGTTTGACTATATGATTAAAGCAAATCTGAATCAGAGACGCATTCATTTGAGAGTATCTGTTGCATTACTTAACTGTCAAATGTAGCATACAAACCTGTAATCACATGAGCCACTGACTATGACTGACCAAGTCAAAGTGTCCCACCAAAGTAGTGATTTTCTGATCAGAAATGTAGTGGTCAGAGAGGGAGTGACGATCACCTCAAACCTGGGAGACGATTTTGATCCTGCATACATTTTACTTCTTACTGGTTGTGACTGTTTCTTTACCGATAAAATCCAAACTTTGAAACTGTTCTCCTTTCTAATATGTCTTCCTCTCTATATAAACCAGATGTGTAAATACTGTACCTCTGAGTCATATGTGTGGATTGTGTTGTATCGACTCAGGCTTGCAACAAAAAACAAGTTTAAAAAAAAGACAGTAAAAACCTGAAAACCCCAAAAGAGTCATGTTGTACTGTATCTGCATTAATTTATAGGCCTGCTTGTGAATGAATGTGTCACCCTGTTACAAAGCAATACACGCTACAGTATCTAGACGTAAAAAAAAAAAAATGCCATCAAGCTGGTTAGAGGTTGCCGACTTTAGATCTTCTAGCACGCAGAAAAGGTACTTTATTTGGTCTCGTATCACTGCCTCTTCAAATCCTCCTCAGTTTGGGCCATCAAGATGAGAGAATATGCTGTGGATGTTTTTATCTGTACTTTGTGGTAAAACAATAAAAAGTTACTAACAATCAGTTGATTCTTCGATTTTGAATATTTTGTACCTTGGGGGGTGAGATGGGTATTGTTAAAATCCCAAATCCCAAAATGAACTCATAATATAGATATGCACTCACTGGAAGAAAAAAAACATTCGCTGCATCATAAATATTATTTTAACCCAGACAGTAAAGTTTAGATCCAGATTTATTCAAAATAATCCAATGTTCGAGTGTCATGAAAGCTCATGGTTGGGTGCTTCTTGTCCCTTCAGCCTCAAGATGTCACTGTTTCACTTTCCGCTGGCAGACACCAAAAATTTTTCGTGCTGCAATTTCTAAAAAATTATGATAATTGTGATGCTGCCCCCTTGAGGATGTTAAAAAATGTGTATACTTAAATAAAATATGTTTGCAATATATACAAATATTCCAAGTCAATTCCTAATTTCCCTGATATAGTATTTGATAAAATGTTTGTTTCCACATATTTACCTACTTTCTAATTACGAAGACATATCATTGATTTCAAGCAATTGTTGAAAGTTTCCTTCTCTTAAAACAGACTCTTGGAATGTAGTGTGATGTGAAATCTATTCCTGCCTCAGAGAGACTGAAGACATGCTACCTTTAGTCCACTTTGTGTTCTCTGATACAACAATCAGATCCTCCACTATGTTGGATTTTTTTCTCAGAGATCAACATGCCCAAAACAACATTTACATTTGTTGTAAATAATTCACTTTTCACTCAATCCACTAAATCACTAAATGATAAGCAATATAAATATTTACAGTAATACATATTCTTCAAGGCAAGGTGAAGCACATGTATTTAATGCAATATTTTTATATTGCATTTTTAATATTTTTATTATTTTATTATTTATTTTTAAAAAACTCTCTTCTTAATAAATAATTTTTCCACCATACCAAAAAAATCTGGTTTATGCGTATGTCCCTTACCCTTAGACAGCCGGGACATAACACCTGATCAGTTAAATTTATTAAATAATAGCATAATGAAAATTACATTTTGCAGATTTTGCAGTCCTAATTTTCTTGAACTGTGGTCAGACAAGAGCCTTTTTCTCATCAGGGTTGGAAAACACTGACTGGCCCATATCAAAAGGCCACACAGTGTTTTAAATGACCTGATCTTAAGGACCCCTACATAGATGTGTACTGGATTTACAGGTTGTCTGTTCAAGTGCAAACTTGTCCTAATTCTGCTGTGGACATCCTGGAGTTCTTCAATGTCCTTCCGGATGTCAGAAACTGTCAACATATTCACCCAAATGTCCGTCCAACCATTAGTGCTGCAACCTAATTTGTAATTTCCTAATTAACCAGCAGAGGGAGAAAGACAGCAGGGATAAGATACTGATTACAAAACACACTTCATTCATTTAGTCGCCATCAGAGGAGAAACTATAAATATAATCCTAATAAAAATATTTAAATTGAGTGATCCATTATAAAAATCACTATAATGTTGTGTTGGCGCTGCCATATAACCCACAATTTAATTTCTTTCTGTCTTTATATTATTCAATATAACTTAATTAAAAGCATCCCTGTACGATTTTCCATATTATTCTAAAAAACAATGTGCAATGTAAGACAAAACTAATTCTTAGAGGAATATCTTCATAACACTGAATATAACAACATCTGTGGAGGCCTATACCATTCATTTCCCATCAACAGCTGGTTTATTGTTGCACACACTGGCTTAGACTTATGTTTTTTCCAACATGTATGTAAATATGACAGTTTGGCCAAAATGGAGGAAACAGTGTTTATTGCCGAGCAGCATTTAATTCAGAACACAGCGGCATACAGCCACATAACTGTGGCAAGAACAGTCAGTGCAACAAAAACGTTTACTTTTCACATTAAAACAAGAACACATTGAAAAAGGGTGGATTAAAAAATAGATAAATACATTGTGTTTGCAAATGTTAAAGATAATAATTGCTGAGAAATTACGCCCTTTGACACAGTGCAGGGCAACATTCGAGTACGTCAACAACATGCAAATTGTTCCCTACAGAAATACTGTAAATAGTCCATATTACGTAGATTATCTCTTACAAATGTGGGCGTAGGCATATGCAGTTTTCTTACAGCTAATTCCTCATAGACTGTAGGCCTATTGAGAGTCACAAATGTGCATATTTCTGTAGAAATGCTGTAAATCCGTTTGGTCCATGTATAGACAGTCTGTAAACATGTTTACAAGGGGAAAAATCGATATATGTGCAGTCTGTCATTAAAGTTGAGCATAAAGCCTCAATAAGTGCCTCGTTCTCTCATCAGGTTAGCCAGTGGCCAAATTCCATTTAAAAAAACGCAGTTTAATGCTGCCTTGTTCGCCAGTAAACATATTTACGAGGTAGAACATGATTTCATACATCGAACATATTACAGGCAAATGCTCTTCATTTCGGCATAAATCCAATTAATCAACTGGCGATCATTGATTTTAAAATCCAATGATTAATAGTGATGCGTGCTCGCCAGACTACTGTGGAGCAATTAGGGTTCTGGAAATTGCTTTACTTAAAAAGCAATATTAAATCGTGTTTTACCAGGTATGTTCACCTTTTGTCGGTGCTCAATGTCTAATTTAGCCTGGTATTCATTCCACTTGGAACGGCACACATCTGGGCTACGCTATAGCCTAACAAAGTCCATGAAGCTTAGGGGCTGCTGACCCCACACACCCTTCCTACCCCCACCTAGTGCACTTGAACCTCGCGTGTCAGCAGCTGGCAGCCGCTGTTGACATGGGTGATTACTTTCTGTTTCAGCTGGGCCACTTGCTCCCTCAGCAGGCCGGCCGTTGATGCCAGTTCGTTGTTCTGGCTTTTCAGCGTTTTGACCTTGTCCTCCAGCCTGGAGATCCGCTCCAGTTTGCGCATCCGACACTTGGACGCTGCAATCCGGTTCCTGAGCCTCTTCCTCTCGGCTTTCATGCGGTCCTGTGAGTCCATGTCGATGGGAGAAAGCGGCGGGCTCTCCCCGAAGCTCTGAACGTCGGGGACGGTCTGAGGCTCCTCCTTCAGCGGCTGGACCCGGGAGAGCTCCGGCTGCTGCGGGGCTGCCCCTAAATTATGCGATGGAGGAGGCGGGAAAGGGACCGTGTCTGTGGAGTAGTTGACAGTGGTTTCCAGTGGCCCGCTGCCATAACTGTTCAAGTTCGTATATACCGGTAGATCCGGATGGACGGTGACCGGGGCGATGTTGGCGCTAATCTCCAAGTTGTTGTTCGTCTGCCCGGTTCCGTTCAGCTGGTTCTGCTTGTGTAGATCCTCCAGCGCCTTCACGAAGCCCTCGGCGAACTCCTGCTCGTCCGTTACCGTCTTCGGGTAGAGGAACTGGGGGCTGGTGGGTGTCGTGGTGACCATTCCGTTGGACTGGATGATAAGCCTCTCCAGCTCCGGGGAGGCCAGTTTGAGCAGCCCCAGCTCCGGGGCGCTGAGGATGCTCTCGGCATCACGGAGATGCGGTTTGAGGTCTGCGTTGTCTGCCAGGCTCTTCATCATTATTTCTTCCGTCGTCAAAGTCGTAAAGCTCGGCACTCCCTCAGAACGGAATTCTTTCCATAACCTCAGACAAATAAACCGTAGCGTAAAATATCTTGTGTTTAAATAATATTGTAAAGTAAAAAAATATTGGCAACGCTTCACTGGAACCGTCGGCAGGCTTCTGCTCTCGAGCAGGATCTGAGTGTACTGTGTGCCCGCGCGCACAGCCTCGAGCTTTTCTGGGCTCGCACGTTCCATTATGTCACACTAGAGCGCGCGCACTGGGCAGATATTACGTTTTCCAGATTTTTATTTGAATAAAGAGAGGAGGAGACGGCAGAGACATCTCACTCTGCGTCTCGTTCAGGTCCTTAAAACAGATGAAATAATGTGTTTTAGTGTTATAACATGTAGTGTTTCTTTGATCAATCTTTCTGAAAAGATGCTGTTTTTCGGTTATGTTCATTCATATTTAAGTAGGGGAGAAAGGGGGCAATTGTAACAATTTGTGGTTTCTTTGTCATCTCTCAAAAACGTCTTGAACTAATTGGACACAATTTTTATAGAAGTAACTTGTATTGGTGTTTTACTTGTTAACAGTCATCAAATGTTTTTACAAGCAATGTTAAAGTCACAATATTGATTCAAACACATGCAGGGGCGATTGTAACAGCAAATGGGGGCAATTGTAATATACAGTATACAGTATACATAGAAAAGTAAGCTAAAGGTCATTCACACACATAAATGTTTAAATTGAAAACACTTTTCTGACATTATTAGAAAGATAGTATTGTCTATTATTTTCTATATTGAGCTTAAATTCTATGCTACTATTACAAAAATCAAAATAATGTTGATCTCTTGATAAATATGTTGATAGATTATTATCACAGTACTTACAGGGCTGTTAATGGCTCTGAGTATTTAAAGTTAAGATGTCTTCTCATTAGTAGACATTGAAGATAAAGCATGAGCAATTGGCTCTTGGTGGGAATTGAACGCTGTTCAATGAAAATGCCAAAGATTCAACTATTGGACTATGCTGCAAAAACACATATTATATATATATATCATATATATATATGATATTCTTTCTAAGCCGGACACTATTTGGTTCCTGGGTCAATTGTAACACAGTGTTACAATTGCCCCCAACTGTACCACCACATGACAAGCTACCCTGCTAATGCCAATGTTATAATATTTGACAAAGATATCAAATGTTAGACAACAAAATGGTCCTCAAAAAAAGACCAATTTAAATTCATAGACATTAATGGTCAAGGCAGTATGAGAAAAATACTGTAGATGAAAAGAATTACTTTCATAGCTCAAAAATGAGTCTTGGCAGAAAAACTTTGATAAGTATGTCTTATTGGCATGTCCTTCGGCAGGCAGAGCGATGTCCACAGAGAGCGTGCATAATGAGTTTCATGGTTCTGTCTCATTTCTGATTGGTGCAATTTGAGATGTTACAATTGCCCCCAGTCTCCTCTATATT